TATCCCATTTATTTTATGATCCTATCATAAGGTAGATAATACACAATAACATCGGATGACAGCATGTTCGGCTACCTCAACTATTCAACTCATCCTTGAGAGGCAGATGCGAAAAAGATGATAAAAGGTAGAAAAAAGGTTATACGCATTGCAATGACAACTGTCTCACCAGGTCCCAGGCTCGAGTACACGCAGAGAGGGGCTCGATAGGCAACATGATAGCCCTTGAAAGCTTGACAGTGCGGCTCGAAGGTGGGCAAGCCAAAATGCATGGCTGGCACAGGCAGGCTGGGTGCTTCCATTGTACTGCTTTGACTCATGGAAGAGTCGGAGCGGCAGCAGAGCGGACCCAGGTCGTCGGACATTTCACTTTTGTTGGCCTGAATACTGGAATGTGTTAGCTGGAAAGCTGAAATGGAAGAAAATCCTATTGTCAGGTATCTGTTTGGGAGAAAATAAAGGGGCTTGTACAGCCAATCTCATGAGCACTGCCGCAGTTTGCTAATCTAATCAACTAAAAACATGAGCTTCTGGCGTGGATCTGTGCTCAGAGCCCCTCTTTGTGATGCAACAAGCCAAAGACTGCCGAGGGCCGAAGTACGCATTCACAATCAGGATAGTATGAAAAATAATTATATCATGTAAGGCCATATATTTACAAAGAACTTCAATTGAAACAAGCTCTTATTCCTGCGATGAATATCAAGTAACGAAAATCTCGTTATTTGTGTCATTTGCACTGATAGAGATGCCATTTACATTTCAACATCAAACAAATATTCATCCGCTTCTCTAATAAACAATCAGCAGTTATTTACAAAGCGCTTTGTCATTTTATTCACAAGAGGCTTCCTGAAATATTGAGTTCAGCAAAGTAGGTATGAGGCTTTAGTGAAAACGAACTCTCCAGAATTTGCTTTAATGAGTGTCCAATCAAGAAGTACGAAAGCCAATTCTTACACCAACATACAAACTACAGACATATACAAATGCATAGCATCTACATTTGTGGCGGGGAAACCTCCATGCTGAAATGGAATTCCCGTATAGTCATAAAATGCACGCCTCATCAGCGTACCTTATAACTCACTTCCTTGCCCAGAA